AAAAACGGGCCGCGAAAACATAGTTCCGCTACACTACGTTGCAGAGGATAGTAAACCATTACTATGGTGGCCCAGTGACGCCATTAGCGATTTTCCGTGTGTTTAACAGCAGTTATATTTTTCTATTTTATTATTATTTTTTTTTATTTTCTTTATTATTATATCTTTTTAAAATTTTTATTATATTTATTTTCTAATTTATAAAAACAAAACAAAACATATTAAAATATAAAAATAATAAAATAAATAAACATTAAAATAAATAAATAAAATGAAAACGCTTCGCAGCTGTGCCAGCCAAGCCATAGCGCCAAGACGACTAGTATGGTGGCCAGCAACGCCATAGCGCAATGCAACTTGGGTAACCGTATATACATTAAGACTGGTGCTCGCTCGCCACCATCAAGCTAACTAGCCGAGAGGGGAGCGAGTAACCAGTCTATCTTATACAATATCCCAAATCCCTAGCGAGCATTCAATGTCTTCGCTCCATCCGCAAACTCCACGAACGATGGCGCTCTCGCTCTTGGCTCAATGGAGGTCTTTGGAAACTAAAATACCAGGTGGCGCTGCGACGACAACCAAAGATCTTCAGGGGGCAAAATCCACACACGCACGTACGCACGCACGCACGCACGCACACATGCACACACGTGTACCTGCACAAGCACGCACGCACGCACGAACGTGTACCTGCACACGCGCGCACACACGCACGCACGCACGCACGCACGTGTACGTGCACACAGACGGACGCACGTGTAGGTACACACGCACGCACGCACGCACGCACGTTTACATACACACGCACGCACGCATGCATAATAAATCGGTAATAATCGCTACCGGGTGTTGTCGTGTAGACGCTACATAATCGCTAACTCGAGTTGAGTTATTGATGTTGATGTTATGTCATAAATTGATGTTATGTCCGTGTATATTTCTATTGATGTTACTAGTTGAGTATTAAATTGAAATTTCATTTCAGATATCATTGGGAGAAGCACTTGCATATAACTACTTTGCTGGCTACCTAAATCTGGTATTGCTTAGTGTAGCTGATAGGATCAGCAGCAGTAAATATGGCCAAAGCACAACAAATAAGAAGTTGTTTATTCTAATCCCTGCTAATGGTGAGATGTCAGGGAAGCTGCAGGACGTCGACAAGCGCATACGACAGGTTGGAACGTTAGCTCCATTGATGATAGACAGAGCTGGATTCAAAAGAAAGTACCCTAACAACGTCTATGGATTAGTTCATGATGAAAAGGTATAAGCACAAGTGTCAAGTGGAAAGAGTTTGTTCATAGAAGTGAGGCCTCGATTCAAATCCCACATTTAGGAGTTACCGATTTAGAATTAGCTTGACGACTGGGGGCCATCTGAAGGAAATCTGATTACTACATGGATATTAATCACTGGTGCATAAATAAAGTATGCAAAGTGGCACTAATGTATTATATATGGTAGCTATATCGAATTGTATTTACGGTTGTTTTGATAATATTTTAGGAGGTAACATTCGTCGCTGACATGCCAGCAAATCTGCTCACGCTCCGAGACATGACAAAAGATTTCGAGCTGACTGGCTTCACAGAGCAGGATAAGCTGCAGGAGGTCCAGAAGTACGCTGCGTTCTTGAAGAAAATTCTAGAGAGGCAATCCCATCTGGCGGAGACGTACAAAATTGTTGTCTACAATGGTAAGTCTGTGTTGAAACTTTCTGTGTTCAAGCATTACCCCACCACGACATAAATGTTAATTTTGCCGAAATTGTTGATAATACAGCACATCGCTAGGGAAGTGCAACGATATGATTGTGTGTTTTTTTGTGGTGGGGAACAGGTGAGGGGGAGAATTTACATAGAATGTAATTTTGAGACTGGGGTTCATAGAAAGACCAAACCCTGAGCGGTTTTAATATGTGGTGTTTCCAGTTCCTGTTCCAGTTCCAGTTCCTGGTGTTTCCAGTTCCTGAATGCAATTTGGTATTAGTTTAAGAGAATTATTTCAAATTTCAGGAAGAATGGCTTTAAATAGTATAGATTTCTAAGCATTTGCTATGAAGAAAAAATGTATAGCAGTCTCACCCATCTTTAAGACTGTCCTAAATTTTAATAAGCAAAAAAACTAAGCAAAGATAATATAACATATCTTGTTTTTGAACTTTTTGCAGAAGATGCTGCAATGATGGATGCTGTTCAGCACTTTCTTTGAAATTGAGGCGAGGCCATGCATCCAAATATGAATAAAAATTGAATTTTGAAAGTTGAGTTTTGTTTTCTTTTAGTTTTCTTAAAATACTTTAATATTATGTATAACAGTATCACTGTATTTTGACTTGTTTGATCTGACAAAATGACTTTTCTTTTTTTTTACCCTACCGAGTCAACAAAAATAATAATAATTCTGTAAACCAAAAAAAAGGTGGCCTAAGATATTACAATTCTTTTGCTTTTAAATTAATAAATAAGAAACACCCTCGATCGGTCTGTAGCCCTTGGCTGAAAAGTGGTTTTGCGATCAGATCGTGCGCTTTGAGTGGCGGCACCGTTGTTGTAATCAAACTGTAGTCGTTAGTTTCAATTTTTTTTACAATATTCTTAATGGTGATTGAACCATGTTTGATTGAACCAAGCTTTTTATGTAGCGTAATTTTAACCTAAATTAACTGAAAATAACCCTAGAACCTAGAGTAAACGATGCCTTTAATTATAATATTATATAAATGTAATTTTCTGGAATTTTTACAACTTTTAAAGCATCTTTTGGGGATTTTCTGGGTTTTTCTTTGATAAACCCGAGCCAGCAATATAACTCTATCCAGCGGTGTTAGCTTATTGCAAACAACTCATGCCATTGCATATTTTATTTTATTGACATTGGTCAAACAGTAGAACGTCTACTGTATAGTGAGCGATTTTTTCACGATGTATTTGTGTGTACTGTGTATTTGTTTGCGATTTTTTCGCACACAATAAATATGTTTAAAAGACATTACGTTGAAATAACTGAGATATTTAGAAAAAATTTGGGGATATTTAGAAAAAAAATTGAGATATTTATAGATTTTGTTGGAGAATTTACGGAAACATATTTAGGCCATTTTTCGAGATATTTGTATCTAAGCCTAGTTCGGTCCACGTAGGAAAACAAGTGCCCAAGGCGCAGTAATATTTTAGACAGTTCATGTCTTTTTGTTATTTATTGGGTTAAATGTTAAAAAAAAACATATTTAGAAAATCTAATGGAAAATATCCTTGGAAAACATGCACGATTCAGTTCACTTCCGCTAGGTACGTTGTAGTGAACGTTGGACAATTGGATTCCGATATTATAGCCGTGTACGCTCTAGGTTTTACTGACTCATGTGTAACTGGGTTATGTAAAACCCTGCCATATATTGTATTATTACTGTGTTTTATTATGTAGTCGTTCTGACTTCCGAGTGAACATGTAAGTTCGAGTTATTTCATTGATCTATAGGACAATAAGCTAATTTTACATCTCAAAAAGTGGTGCATTGAGGGTAGAAATTTTCTGGCTACAAAACAGACTACTAGTATGTAAGGTCAAAATTTTGACTATGTGGTTCACAGTGCTTACTTTAGCACTTTTCAATTTTGTACAAACCATTTTCACACCCGACAGTGCCAGATCTTGTATCCGCCTAGAATGTTTAAGTTATAAATAAAAGTCCATAGCATTTCCTGATGAGAAATTGATGTTATGTCAGTGTATATTTCTATTGATGTTACTAGTTAGAGTTAGTACACTATCCTACGGACCATAGCCGCGAGTATATATTATCATATGACGATACCGTGCGTATATTTTTGGTAATTAATTAAACTATTCGTTTTTCAATAAAATCAAAATTTACAGAGACCGTAGCTAAGAGATGTGTTTATAGGTAGCTAGAATTTTTGAAATGTAACTCAAATCCTTCGCGCGATATTAGAGTTAGTACACTATCCTGCGGGCCATAGCCGCGCATATATTAGCCTACGAGCGATATACCGTGCGTATATTTTTGGTAATTAATTAAACTATTCGTGATTTAATAAACTCAATAGCTCAATTCGTTCGCGAGATATGAGAGTTAATACACTTTCATGCCTCCTATAGCGCAATAGCGTATGCGCGCGGGAGGGGGGGGGTTAACAGCTGTATACAATACAGCTGTACAGGGGGGCGCGGTTTGAACATTTATTCATCTGTAATTCACTTCTAGGGAATATCTACATTGGGCACCCCCTCTAATATTTATAGTAATGCCATAGGCTACAACTGCGCCAGGTTTGATGCTTTTGTCAGCTCTGTAACTGGAATCTTTTAAACGCCTAGTCAAAACTCATCTATTTAACATTGCATTTAACACATAGACATTATATTTTAGGTGTACATTTGATTTGAGTTCTATTTTATCTAAAATGTTGTATTATTGTCGTTTTTAGGATCTATATTTTACAATGTCGCAGTCCGCTATTTATAATCAGGAATTGCTACAGGATTGTCGTAATTTTAGTATCTATGTTTTACAGTGTTGCAGTCCGCTGTTTTATAATCAGCCTTTGTAATGCGCACGTGAACATATCTGCATGTAACGTGCGCAATATAAATCAATAAATATTATTATATTAAATATTTATTATGTGTACAAGGTATTTTAAACCCCGTTCGGTGATTCCCCCAACCGCTTTTTACTGCGGTTATTCCCCGTTCTACCGGTGATTCCCCGTTCTACCGGTGATTTCCCTGCATGTCCACGCCCTGTAGATTGCGTCCTTATCAGCGAAACTAAGCTTGTATCTTGTATCTTGTATTTCACAAAGCACTCGATTCAACGAGGTGCGGGGATTATCTAGAGAAAAAGGAGATTAATGCCACCTCTAATTCTCTAAATGTCAGTGTTTCAAATCACCAGAATTTTCCTCACATAATCTAACGCTGGTTTCAATAACCCGTGGTTGTTCCCTCTCCAGCCTTCTATTCGTTGTCCATCCTTGTATTTATTATAGCTATCACATTTATATAAATGTTCCATGTCTTCTTTCATATTCTTATTACATCTATTACACATGTCGTCACTAAAGTTATTTTTAAAGTAGCCTTTGAGATCAATCATGCAAGTTTTACATTTAAATGCAAAACACGAATCAGCAAATAATAATTCTTTCATATAATCCTTCAATCCGTATGTTTCAATGTTTATCATGTTCATTTTTGTTTTATCTCTAGTTTTCAATTTGTGTCTTTTAATTACTCTTTTTAAGATGGCAAGATACTCTTGTTTTTTCCAGGTTATTTTTGGTTTTAATCTTATGGCTGTAAATGATATTTCCAGTTCGTACTCCTCTAGAATTATTAAAATTTCATTTCCCCCAATTTCTTCTTTCCTCTTTGATTTGCTGTATAAATACTCTCTTCATTAATCTATTATTATCTAGCTTAACTATGTATTGTAGTAGCATAAGTTTTGTGTATCCTATTTTATCAGTTATTGGTAAAATTCCTAACTCTATCCTTTAATAGTGCTTCCAGTGGTGTTTTACTATGAGCTTTTATTATTTTGCGCGGGCACTCATTTTGGAAAGCCTCCAACATTTTAACTTCTTCCTTAGTTAAGTTAGTCCATGTTTCACTATTATTTAAGAAGGAAGGTAAAACTGTGCATTCATATAATTTCACTCTTGCTTCTATAGTATGATTTCCATGATTTTGCTTTTCTGCCCATGATAATATTTCCCTCATCATGAACCTACATTTTTCAGTTCGGACACTTATCATGTCCTTAAAACCTCCTATATCATTAATTAAATCCCCTAGATATGAATATTTGGTGCATTTTTTATCACTTGGTTGCCTAATAATATATCTTTCTCTATCCTTTCTTTGTTTGTGAATTTTATAACCATTGTGTTTGTTTTGTTCATATTAAATTCTAATCTTTTTGATTCTGCTAATCTGTAGCATGCCTGAGCGATGTTTGTAACTGTTTTATAATCTCCAATTCCTAGAATTGGAATCCGGCGCACACGTGAGTTATTTTACTCAAGTAAAATGACGCATGAGTCATTTTACTCACGTGTGCGGCGGAT